CAACTCTTGGGCTTACTCTTTTACCAACGAATAGTGGGATTGACCGTCACATTATAACGCCCCCACGGACTGAAAGGGCGAGCATGTTTGGTGGGATGGGGATGCGAACCTGCGACCCGCAGATTGCGAGTCGAGCGTCCTAACCACCTGGCCATGTGCAATTAGTTTATCGTAACTCTAAACATAAATGTTTTATGCTTTAACCCCCATGATAACTGGCAGCATTTTTAAATTCCTTTCTACTTTTGTCACTGAGTTACATTCAAAATTTAATTAAACCACTTTACTATCAATGTATTCTAATGAAATTATTATTAAACAGGCCTGCGATGGTTTTATTGTCTTGAAATTTTCACATGTTCTACAGTAATTCCTGTACACTGAATCTGAAAATGGTATCCTTTTTCCTCCATCACGTACAGATTTTTCACAAAACATCATAACGCAATGCATAAAAGAAAGACCATAACATATAGTTTCAAGACTAAAAGACATAGATTTCACACAAAAAAATGAGGATGCATGTTCGATTGACATCAAAGTTCTTCCCTTTTCTTCAGTTTGTTTGTATTTTTGTTAACAAACAACAACATAAAAAAAATTTTCATTGTGGTAAACGAAATAATAATTTGATCTAAGTAAGATTTTTTCTTCCCGATTTGTAAAAACTCTGTATGCAATAGAAAAAATTAATATTATTTTCGAAATCTGCATAACTGAGTTATGAAAAATCCATTATTAAAACCAAAGTAAATTTTATGAAGTTTAAATTTGCAGGCATGTGTTATCAAGTATGTTATTCGTAGTTTTATTTTATCTAAGTTTAAATTTTTTTTTTCAAAAGAAACCTTTAAATGAAATACTCTGTACTGAAAGTAATAGCCCCAGCCCTGTACATGTATGTCTAGACAATAACTACATTTAATTGCCCTATTGACACTAATGTTTCAAAGTTCTTTGGCTGAATCCAGTAGAGAAAAGTAATAAATTTTGCCAACCCCTGACGAATGTTACACCCATCAACCCATACATATGGTTGAGTTTTGCACACTACATCTACATCCAACACACACATGTATATAGTTATCAGAAAGAGCTCATTTTACACTGTAATTCAAGTTATTTTAAAATTGGTGCCAAGTTGTCATCATCGGGTAGATGTAACTGCTTGTACTTTTGTTAGCCACTTTGTTCACGATAGCACTTTGGTTGCTTCTTACCTAAATATGTTATAGTTAGAGAAACAGATAAACTGTATTTAGGTTTTATTTTTATATTTTAGTTAAATATGTATTATTCATGTTTTAAAATTAATATTTGAAAGGTTTAATAATTTCATAAATATTTTCTGATGTGCTCATCCCTCCCTAAAGGTTACATTACCATGCAAGTACAAAACAGATTTTGCCAGAGGCTTAAGTATCTCTGCCGATCATACCGATCTATCGCCTGTGGGTACCCACTGACATGTGATGACATAAATACTCAATAAACTATAAATGAAAAGATGTGAAATTACACATGTGACCTAAAAAAGGTATTTTATTATTCAACAAAGAGTTAAAAGGTACGTACATACTTCTATTTCTTAATCTTACATATTTCACTGCACTGAACATTGATGATAATAGCCAGAGTTTGTGAAGCGGCAGAGAAAATGGAAAATAAAATCTAAACATTTACCATAAAAAACTTTTGATATTCATTTAGGAGGTTCTAAAGATTATGCAAATTAAATGTGCAAACTGTAAGGTAATAAATAGTATTTTTATACTCAACATGAAAATCACGTTGCAGATGAACTATTCAGAGTCCGAGTGCAAATGACTAGATTAAATAACGAATTTTTATTACAAATTATAGAAAAAAATCAAATTAAGTGTTTTATTTTTTGAAACTGCATACTTTTAGGAAAGTTCTTGTCAAGTTTCAAACAATTTCACCCATTAATTTTATTTTTTGAAAGAAATATGACAAAAGCAACGTTACCTACTAGAAATCTTTGTCATCAATAGTCATAGGGTTAAGCAGTCTTTAGACTAAGACAGTTGCACAAAAAATTTTTTCAAAATTCATTACCATACTCATATCATGTAATGACAAATATTCTTTGCTACTGTGATTTTAAGCCTTATTCTGGAATTTTCAAATCAAGAGCACAAATTCTACTTTGAACATGATGTACACCATTCCTACCTCTTGAATCTGTTGGTTCTTGGCCGAGAGCTGTTTATTAAGTGATGTTACTACTCGCATGTGATGTTGCATTCCACCCACCTCTTTAGTCCTATCCTGAGCAGCCAACTGTGCTTGCTAGAAAAACAAAATTACTTTTTACAATTTTAAATAACACTGACTGTATTATGTAAAATACCAATCAGAATAAAATTAAACATAAGATAAAAAAAAAACTACAAGGATGTCTAATATTTATGTTATAGCTAAGTTACTTTATTTCTGTTCCAAGGTTATACGAGAGACCTGGTTTTTACTAAACTTGTAATCTAATATTGAGAGTGTAAGCAACAGGAGGATCAATAATAAGTATGTAAAACAAAGATAGAATAAAAAATTAATCGCTTCTCAAATTAAAAGACATCTACCTCATATTATTTAAATAATTACTATCTATATTCCTTAACAAAAAATTAAGTATTTTTACTTCTTTATGAAAATAATAGAACATTTCTCAGTTAAAAAATTCAATCCTGTCAATAAAGTTACCAAAACACTGATTTTATTCTTTAACTATGTGTACCGAGAAGAAATTATTAATTTTTTAATTGTTTAGAATTTTCATGCAAAGCTACACGGAAGCTACCAGCACTTAGCTAATTTTGAGCTAATAGGGTAGAGGGAAGGCAGATACTCAACAGCAACCACAGTGAGATTATACCATTACTAATATTGCAACAGACATATCACAGACATATAACAAAGACTAAACCCATGGATTACAGAAAATAAATTACCCCAAAGGCTATAATAATGAATAAACCCAGAGGTTACTATCAGGTTTCAATCCACAGATTATAACAACTAAACCCATGGATTACAAAAAATAAATTACCCCAAAGGCTATAATAATGAATAAACCCAGAGGTTACTATCAGGTTTCAATCCACAGATTATAACAACTAAACCCAAAGGTTACTACTAATTTTCACTCACAGGATTATAACAACAACTAAACCCAGAGGTTACTGCTAACTTTCACTCCAAGGATTATAACAAGTAAACCCATAGGTTACTACTAACTTTCACTCCAAGGATTATAACAACTAAACCCAGAGGTTACTAATTTTCACTCCAAGGATTATAACTAAACCCATAGGTTACTACTAACATTCACTCCAAGGATTATAACAAATACTAAACCCAGAGGTTACTACTAACATTCACTCCAAGGATTATAACAAAGACTAAACCCAGAGGTTACTACTAACTTTCACTCCAAGGATTATAACAACTAAACCCAGAGGTTACTACTAACTTTCACTCCAAGGATTATAACTAAACCCATAGGTTACTACTAACATTCACTCCAAGGGTTATAACAACTAAACCCATAAGTTACTACTAACTTTCACTCCAAGGATTATAACAACTAAACCCAGAGGTTACTACTAACTTTCACTCCAAGGATTATAACAACTAAACCCATAGGTTACTACTAACTTTCACTCCAAGAATTACAACTAAAACCATAGGTTACTACTAACATTCACTCCAAAGATTATAACAACTAAACCCATAGGTTACGGCTAACTTCTAAAGATGACTTACCCTGTCAGCATATTCTGATGCCACCTGCTGGATTTCACTGGACTGAAGACTAACTATTGAACCAACAGCACTTGGTGTAAGCTTGCTCTGTAAATATAACGAACATAGCAAATATTGGCAATTAAAAAATACAGACAAAACCAAAACACAAGTTTCACACTAGTTAGAGCAAAAATTAGTTTTTAATTATTCACATAAAGTTCTCAGTAACATTCTTTACCGTAACATGCTGTACTTATGATAATCTATGCACTACACATGATAAAGCAAGTGAACATTACTATGCTACCATATACAAAGTTTATAACTGTAAGTTATTATCATTTCAGAGTTGTAATCACCTCAGTAACATGTAAAATCTGAAACTGCAGATGGAGGAGTATCAAATTAAAATTCCAAAAGTGGATTGAAAAGATTCTTGGACAGAATTGTCACCGGTGATGAAAAATGGATTCTCTATGTTAATATTAAATGCTGAAAACAATGGCTCAGTCCTAGACAAAAAACACTTCTGACCCCAAAACCTGGACTCCATCCACAGAAAGTGATGCTTTGCATTTGGTGGGACATCAAAGGAGTAATTCATTTCGAACTCCTTAATCCACAACGAACTGTCAATGCAAATGGAACGTTTAAATCAAGCCTTTCATCAGAAATTCTCTTCCCTCGTCAGTCGGAAAGGTGTTCTTCTTCACGACAATGCACGTCCACATGTGGCACGTTTGACGCAATACAAGATTATGGAGTTGGGTTGGGAAGTTCTCCCCCACCCACCATATTCTCCAGATATGGAACCATTAGATGACCATCTTTTTCGTTCGCTGCAACACCATCTTAATGGGAAAAAGTATGCAAGTGTGGAAGGTGTTAAAGAGGACATGAACATATTTTTTGCTTCAAAGTTAAGTGATTTTTTTTAATCAGGGCATTAACAACCTGATTGTAAGATGTAAAAGCATCATCGATAAGAATGGAGACAATTTCATTTAATAAATGTTTTGTTTTGATATATAAGTTGTTCGGGTTTTTTCATCATATTGTTACCGTTTAAATCTGTTCTTTCTAATGAGTAATGATGTGTTTTTTTTTGTATTACCGTGTTTCTAATATTAAGTTTTAAAACTTCATTTTCCACCTGATGAGTCAGTTGGAAACAATTTTATGTCAGAGCAAGGGGCGAGTAGGCACAAGGAAATTATTTTTATTCGTGAGAAAAACTAAATGGAAAAACGCACTTAGCGCTGAATAGCTTATAATATATGCTTGTACTATTCGGTCAGTTATTAAACAAAAATACTTTACGCAAACTTTTTAACTTACAGTCCAACATTTATTACCAATATTGATCAATATGTACCAAAAAATTACATGGACTGAAACTACTTCACACAAAAATAGTTTTAAAAGAGTAATGTAATTATCTGTTTATCATTCATTTGCACTACAAGACATGAACTGAAAATTGGACACTCGATTAAACCTGATATAAATGGTGTTAAAAAAGCAGTTTTTCTCTGGTCAAAGCAGTTATGCACAGTTTGTATCAATAACTCGTGAGACCCTTATTATAACTTGTGAAGTTAATAAGAGTACGTTTTTGGTCAGAAGTGTAGCTGAAAGCTGCATCACTAATACATTGTAAGTAAGAAAAATACGACATTTCTGTCTAATAAAGCTTGGTTAATAATTCAATGTCTGAAATTACTTACGAAGTTCGGTACTTGTATCACTATATATATATATATTCATAATACAAAGTTACTTTAGTACTCTAGTGAGTCAGCGGTAAGTTCACGGACTTAGAACCTTAAAATCCGGTGCTCGATTCTTCGTGGTGGACGGAGAGCAGATAACTTACTATACCGCTTTGCTCTAAGAACAAACAAATATAATTTCTTTTATTGTTTTTTTATGATACTTGTAAGTCATTCCTATATATTTTCATATATTTCCGTATATACGTCTGGTCATCAATAATTATTGAGTTCAAACTTCATTTATATGATATTTGCGGGTGTTTACGTTACATAGAATGAAACAAGCATTGTTTTCGTAATAAAACATAATGGCAAGAATATAAATAACTACAATGGCACAGGGAATATCTTGATATTAGGAAATGTCTGCTCTAACAAAAAAATAACAATTGATAGTCCATATTAAAGGTAATATTGGTTTCCAGAAATAAAAAAGTAAAGAAAAGGTTGTTGTTGTTTCCTTAGTGCAAAGCTAAACAATGTGCTATTTGCACTCTGTCCACTGCGTGGAATCAAACTCCGGATTTTAGCATTCTAAACTTACCGCTGGATAGAGAACCGGTACCTTATAATGATGCTGGTTTGTTTTTCGAGTAGTTTGTTTTAGCTGTTTTACAGCAAGTCACATTGGGCTATCTGATGTGTCCACAATGACTGAGAATCATTG